TCTTTTTTTCACAATAATTGTTGAGATTGATTTATTAAATTTTATTACGTGACGACAAATCAAGACGGTGTATTTCTGTTATTATCTGCTATTTTATATAGATTATTGTTCAAATCAAGATTATATATACAATAATATACCAAACTTTCTTTTTTTTTCAATCGAAAATGTGTTAATAAAAAAATGATTTTAACTTGTATTTCATTCAGTTTAGAAATTTAATTTATACATTCGATGTTTCATGCGATTGAAAAATATCTTATATTGTAAGAATGATTTTCAACAATCTAATTCAGGATAGAATATTAAACAGTCTTTACTCTGAGAAACCTGTTATTTTATTCTTTAAAATTATTTCGAAATGATTAAGAATTATATATTAGTTTCTGCGTTGCGAAAACAATGCATGAATAACTTTTAACTAAAAGAAAATTTCAATGAAGTTGCTGTGTGTTAATATCATTTTTTTTTTTCGAGAAACCTCATTTGTAAAAATATATTCATTTGCTTTATTGATAGATTCATGAGTTTTTATGTTAAATATCGCATGTTTGTAATATTTTTGATTGTGCGAATCATCAGTTATTGACTGTACTTATATTTGACTATTGTTCTGCATCTCCCTCTCCGACTTCGACGCAGTTCAAGTTTTTCATAACTCGATCTTCGTCAAACTGTGATACTCCCGAAAAAACGCTTCTAAAGTATCTTGGCAACATTACAGCACATTGATGTATAAGATCGTACGCAATCTTTATCTTGAATCATCATATACACACCATACGAATGCAATTTAAAATTGATGAAAAAAAAAGCGATCAAGTTTTCCTATCCGGAAAGTGAAATTCAAGTGATGACTTCTGTTCGATCTATTGACGGGTACTTAGTGTCATATTTTTGAATTAAGAAGAGTAGAGAATTTAGAGTGGAAGAAAGAGACACACATTCATATTAAATGAATCAAACTTGATAACAAAAATAAATATCGAATTTACAGAATATCTCATTGATGATTATATTTGATTTTTTTGGAGTATCAGATACTACAAAATGCTACATTTGTTAAGATTTATTCAGAAAATCTTTTCTTCGAATAGAACAATCGAAAAAAAAAAGCAGAGATTCTGTAAGATTTTTTTTTTTGAAAGTTATCGATTAAAGAAGAGATGAATTTTCTTTCTTTGTAAATTATTACGATCAATCAAATAAATATAACTAGTAACAATCGATCTGTCTTTGAATATATAGACAATTATTAAGAAAGTTTTATTTTAATTCAACTCTCATCAATTTGAACTTTGAATATGTTCTGTTTAAAATTGATTTTGACTTGAACTAAATTTTTGCATAAAACATTTATTCGATCAAAATGTCCAAAACATATGCATACAAAATATTTTTCTATTATTGATGTTCACTAATGACTGTAATGAAAAATAGGAATGGACTGCTTCATTACTATTGCAGCATTTATTTTATTGTAATCATAATGATAAATTGGAGGAGTAGCGTGACCGCCACCTTCAATACAAATATTAAGAAGAAATTATAATACATAGAGGAGAAGAAGAGGTGAGAGAAAAGGTAGATATGATGATGCACCGGTCACCATGTTTATAAGCGGGCAAAAGGTCAGACGACGTGTCCAATGAGAGCGCTTGAAATCTTAGCATAACGACCTCTATTGGATGACCGATGATTTGATATTCGAATCTTTACAATAGCTATCAATTAAAATAAACAGTCTATTCACTTCTACTTTGTTTATAATATTCCTTCTATCAAAGATTTGTTCAGTTTAAGTCATGACAACTGATTCAATCTGTATGTCAACATCTGTAAAATCTTATCCATTTTCAATGGCAGATAAATCAGCATTAAATAAAGAAGAAATACTTATTAAAAATGATAACCTAACAGGGCAAGAAAAATGGCATAATGTTCGTCTTTGGTTTTATAATCCAAGATATCGTCAAGTCTGTGGAAGAGATGGTTTAGAATGGACAACAATTGCTTTTTCCTATTTTCTGTTATTCATGTCTATGGCTAGTATATTTGCATTATTTTCCGGTATTTTTATGGCTATTGTTGATAAAAGTATACCATCATATAGAGGAAATTCAAGTGTTTTCGCTTGGGATACATCACGACCAAATCCTGGTAAAATAAATAAATAAATTTTCTTTTTGTGTAAATGAACTTTTTTTGATGTTAAAGGTCTTGGTTTTCGTCCTCAAATAAGTATTGAAAAAACTTTAATAAAATATCGTTCATCACATCGTAATTCATGGGGAGATCATAAAGGTTGGGGTGTTTATAAAGAACAATTAGATCAATATTTAGCTTATTATACTGAAGTTGATATTCGATATCAACAAGCGATTGATTGTAATGGACTTTCAATTGAAAAACTTCGTCAACAATTTTATCAAGGAAAATCATGTCTTTTTGATATAAATGTGTTTAACAAGAATCAATCACCATGTACTACACAGAGAAATTTTGAATATGATCGCGGTCGTCCATGTATTCTCTTAAAACTTAATAAAATTTATGATTGGGAACCAATTACATATCAAAATGCTGCTCAAGTGCCAGAACAAATTAAAGGTAAAGTCATTGATTGAAGAACATTTTTTTGATTTCGTCAAAACTATTTGAAATATCATTTAGCTTTATGGACAAATGAATTTTCTAATTATATATTAGTTCAATGTAATGGAGAAAATGATGTTGATCGAGATTTTATCTATGAAATCGAATATTTTTCTCAAATGAAAACAACAACAATAGGTGGATTTCATCGAAATTTCTTTTCATATGTTAATCAAGATGGTTATCGAAGTCCATTAGTTTTTGTTTATTTTAAAAGAATTGAAACAAATGTTTTAATTAATATTGAATGTCGCGCTTATGCACAAAACATTGATCATAATGATAGTCTAGAATATAAAACTGGAAGTGTTCATTTTGAATTGATTGTTGAATGAAATCCTCGTTTTTATTATTAGAATTGAATCTCTCATCTTTTATTTGTGTACATTCTTATATATTCCATCAAAGTAATCATCTTCTTTGATGACAAACAAATTCAGCCTGGTTTTTTTCTGTTCATGACGTTTAGTTTAAATCTTCTTGTTTTTTTTCATTTGTGCAACTTACTTTTCTTTTTTATATGCGACTTTTTTTGTGCAACTTCTAATTGTTTTATACTAATGAGGGAATACACAGAACTGATCAATTGCTTTTGAGTCAAGATTATGTCCATTATAACGATGATTGTTTAATATAATGTCGTAGTCCCCCTCAAGAACACCAGAAAATCTAATTTTCGAATTTCGACTTGAAACTTTGCATGGAGATAGGTCTTAACAAGTTTAGTTTATTATGAAAGTTTCAGATCTTTTCGTTGTTCCTATCTTGGAAAACAAACATCGAGTCTCCTCTGTCTATGAGCAATGTACACAGGACACGCTTTTACCATAATCTTATTTTAGGATAGGAGCAATAAAATCATCTGAAACTTTCACAATAAATTATACTTGTTAAGACCTATTTCTATGCAAAGCTTCAAGTCGAAATTCGAAAGTTAGGTTTTCTGATGTTCTTGAGGGGGACAACGGCATTCTAATAAACAGCCGTTGTAAAAATGCAGTATCTGAGTAATAATAAACTATAGGCCCGAACTCTTTTCAAGGTATTCATAACTCATTAGGAGCTATATAATGTACATACACTCGAGCCAAAAGCGATTGATCAATCCTATGCCTTCCTTCGTGAGTTTCCTTTTTAATATAATTCCTTATTTTAAGAAAATCTTATTAAGTCACAATAAAAATTGAATGAACTCGTCATTTTAAAGCGAATAACGAACTATTAATGATAGTCTTAAATATGGTCGATACGTCGTTGATATCGTGTTAGAAAATATGGTATTCTCATGAACTGACTCTAAGTCATGTATAATTGATCATTATTCAGGTGCGAGTCAACTATCTTTGATCATCAGACTTCTAAAAGTTTTAATAGTTTTGTTATTTAGAATTTTACAGTAATGTTATTCATATCTAGATTATTATCAATCTATGATAATTCATGTTGACAACAACGTTTTCATTCAGAAGGTGTAATGAGGGATGAAGAACAGGTCATCAGAAACTGTCGCTATACATTCATAGATATTAAATGAGACACAGCCTTCTAGAGCAAGATATTTCATCACTATACGATGCTCAAAATTTTTTTATTTTCTGTCAGTTGTCTTTAGAGTGGTCCAAAATGTATTTCTATATTCTCACATATCAGTGAATCATATTTTTGTTGTACAATTACGTTTTTGAAGTATTTCTTCTGAAAATTTGTTTCTTGTGGTTCAATTTTAAAACTTTTTTTTTTCTTCGTTTCCCTAGTATGTGTCACACGACTATAGCAAATTTCAGCCCGACAGCTTACCAGGATGGCTGTGGATGTGGGTATTTGTATCCTCTCCGCCCACACCCACATCCATACACTACTTTTGCATCGTATATTACTTTAACATGCAGATGAGAGAAGATGGGCAACGTTTTATAAAATTGATGTGATTGCTGTTTACATGAGAATCTACGAGTTCCTTCGTTTACGATAGCAAAATTAATAAAACAGCATTTTTGACAGTTAATTTACCTTCAGAGATATGAGACAAGAAAATAAAGAAATCTGTTTGTGAATTAATTTTGATATTTAATGTGCAGATTTATATATAAAGTGATGCATCATCAACTGCTGCTTAACAGTTATTTTCTTAACGCGCACAAATGTCAACAGCTTCACTAGCCGATATACGAGTGCAGATGCTTCGTATTGGACTACCAACATGCATCATCATTGGCAATGCCAGTAGTGTACTGGGTCTTTTTGTTTTTTTTCAAAAACCATTGAGAAAAAATCCATGCATCATTTTCTTTATTGGTTACATGCTGACAAATTTAATTTTTATCGATGTTAATATTTTTCCTAATCTACTTAGCAGTTTTGGAATAGATCTATCTGTTCGATCTAATGTTTTTTGTCGTATAAGAATCTACATTAGTTTTGTTACATCAGCCATTCCATCATATCTTCTAGCTATGGCTTGTCTCGATCGAACACTTATCTCATCATCTAATGCACAAACTCGTTTACGTAGTAACCGACGTTTTGCTTTACTGATGACTGGATTTTTTAGCTTCTTTTGGATTTTCTTTCACTTACATGCCATCTTCTTTTCTGAAATTCAACTTATAAATGCCGTTCGGCTCGTTTGTACTACTAGACCAGGCGGTCCTAGCATTTTTGTCTCGTACTGTTCTCTGATTAATGCAATAATTCCACTTTTATTGATGATTGGATTTGGAACTCAAATGTTGATAAACATAAAACGAGCTCGTAGACAACATCTGCATGCAAAAGATCGACGTCTTATTGCTCTTCTAATACTTCAATTAAGTGTATATTTTTTCCTTCGTTTTCCTACAGCAATGTATTATATCTATGGAGAAATTACAAAATCCAATGTAAAAACATCTAATCAAGTAGCAATCGATCAGTTTGCATTTTCTATTACAGTATATTGCCAATTTATTCAAGTAACCATATCTCCACTGTTGTATCTAATTACAAATAATTTTCGAAATGAATTTAAACGGACTTTCAACAACATGATACGTAAAGTATGTCGAAGAACTCAAATAGATGTATCACATACTCAAACGAGAAATATTAATACAATACAAATGCGAAAGTTCACAGCACATATCAACAATATGAATGCTATTCAACCGATACAGAATAAAATAGACATCGAGTCAAATTAGTTGTCAAAAACACTCCAGTCTGAAAATGATCTTGTCTTTAAGCAGAGCAATTTTTACGATGTTTTCATAATAATATTTTTTTTTGAATTAATTATAATAATTAAAAGAAACAGATGCACTTTTCAGTAAAATCGATTCTATGTGGAAAAAATATAAGAAAACAGCATAGTTTCAGAAACATCGAGCTGTTCTTTTCTGCGAAATACTTTTTCTTTCATAGAACTAATTTCTTAGAATGACATTTGAATCATACAAGATTGTCAGTATGAAGAGGGTTGCTTTAGTTGTAATATGTTAATCGAGAAAGAATCGAGTATTGTATAAAAGCGAGTATCTAGTGGCTTTCATATCTAAATATTGACTGAATCCTATGATATATACATATCTCATGATCTTGTGTATCTGCGTTCTTCATGATTTAAGATAGGTCGAGAACCATTTTATTCTACATAGTAATACTCATTGAGACTTACAAACCTATAATGAAATATGTTCTAAAAAAGTACTACCCTATATCCTGTTTCAGATACATATTTTGGAAACTATTTGAAAATGGATAGTATCAGATGAATGTCTGAAAATCAAATCTTAGCTAAATATCAATGAATGATTGTTGTTCATAGTACGATAAATGCCATTATCATCTTGTTCGAAATTATAATCAACAAGAATTTAGTACATACCTATTTAGTGCGATAAAATTGTAGAATAAATTCATCCAAAGAGAGAGAAAACCGTTTTCTTTCAATAATACGATCATTCAGGTCATTTTTTTATATTTTGAATTGTAACGCAGCTGATTATGCAATCGAGGATCTTAATATGATTGTCACCTAGTACGTAAGTATCTCTCGAAAATCGATTTGAATTTAGAAACACAATACTTGTCACCGCCTTGTCCGGCACATAATTAATCAATGCTATGAAAATCATACGTTATAACATTGTGGTTGGTCATCTTCAAGTATTTCAATGTTCAAAAATATGTCCTTGAACATCTTTTATCCGCCTTCACGTCAGACCACTCCTTCTCTGCAACAACAGTATATATTATGAGTGCCATTTTTTTTGTCCAAAGCAAACTGATCGGTTTGCAAGCATTGATTTCTAACGAAACTAGTTTAAGCTCAGCAGAAAAGAAAGGCATTATTACTTTCGGAAGTTTTCTCGACAGTTGACAAATGTATGACTATGGAAAAATCTTTTTAATTATTGAAAATATACAAATTTGACTGAAGTCCAGAAAGATAATCATCCGAGTCAGGGAAAGATCAAGCCTACACTCAACTCTGTTTTGCTAATTATGTGAGGCTTTTTAAATAGTCTAGAATCGAGATGATGATTTGTTTTCCTTACTCGACAATCGATTGTTAGCGGGTCTATCGATATGATGCTTGTCTGTTCAATGAACTGTGACTAACAATTTCAGATAGCAGTTGTGGCTTTCCAACAGATCAAAATGAATTCTCTTGAGAGTGTGGGTGTGGGTGTGGGTGTTAGCAATAAGAAGACATACTCACACCCACACCGACATAATACTATTTAATCAGTTGAATCTATGTTTTGTTTCTGTTCATAATTAGCACATAAATTAAGATTCATAGAATAATCTTGAGCTAAGATACATAATTATCCTCATTTTAATCGAAAATAATTTATTCTTAAGCAAACCTCATGTAATTGGTAACGAAATGTATTGTAAGAATAAACAAGAGAAGTCAATAAAAATGTACTGTTGTAAGAACAATAAAAAAATGTTATTGTTATTGTTGTTGTTGCAATTGAGCAGATAAAATCTACAATAAATATTTTCCTTTCTTTTATGTTTAAATATATTTATTAAACTGTTCATTCTTTTGTTTTAATCGCACAATCATTGATGTCATGACATGTCACAATAGACATCAAAGAAAAGACTAGAGTATAAGAAAATATCTGATTTATTGATTTACTATCAAGAGGATTAAAATAGTTTCTTGTCGCACATTTGTTCGTACTACTGCCAGTTGTTTGGGGGAGTGTTAATTGATCGAAAGGCAAAAGATCGAAGGGAAAAATCTCGAAAAAAAAAATCTCGAAAAAAAAAATCTCGAAGGAAAAAAATTTCGAAACGCAAAATCTCGACAAAAAAAAGACCGAAAAAATAATCTCGAATGAGCAAAATCTCGAAGTAGAAAATCTCGAACTACGAAATCTCGAAAGGTAAAATATCGAATATAGAAAATCTCGAAAGTTCGAAAAATAACAAATAACACGGAATGACTGATGAGGGGGTGGGTGTGGGTGTGGGGTGTGGTTGTGGGTGTGGGTGTGGGTGTGGGTGTGGGTGTGGGTGTGGGTGTGGGTATGGATGTGTGGATGTGGGTGTGGGTGTGTGGGTGTGGGTATTGGTGTGAGAAAAATATATACCCACACCGACACCCACACCCACACACCCACACCCTTCTGTTACGTTTTTCTCTCCTGCTCAAGCGGTAGAACACCGCATCATAGTCAATTTTCTGTTGATATTCTCTTACATTTGTACGCTTTTTTTTCATTATTCAACACAATTATGATAAATAAACCATGTATCTATCAAGTACTCGAATCGCTTTTACATTTTACACTTTCGAGATTTTCGAGATTTTCGAGATTTTGTATCTCGAGATTCTTGCTTTTCGAGATTTTGCACATTCGAGATTTTTTTTTTCTGGATGTGCGATTTTCGAGATTTTTATCATTCGAGATTTTGCATGTTCGAGATTTTGCCTTTCGATCTTTTTTTTTCGAGATTTTACCTTTCGATCTTTTTCCTTTCGGGCAATTAACACTGATTCAGTTGTTTTACTAGTACAAAAACTACCGTCGTTATGAATAACATTATTTCGAACAGCCTATCAATGATTCTTGTCCGATTTGAATCATATAGGATGATAATAAGTATGCTTTAAAGTCTATTTTTAATCACAAATGAAAAATTAAACAATATAGAAAAGAAGATACTATCTGCATTCATTCGACCATAGACTGTCTAATATGAACAAATTTAATGAAACTAAAAAATACAATTGTTGTTTACTTAGGGACTTATATTTTCATCTGGCTAATGTTATTTGTTATCAAGCATTTTGTTTTATGATCAATTAAGAAGGACAAATGTCATATAAATCTTGAGTAGTACTAAAAAGTTCATGATATTATGACAGGAACGAAGAATACAGATCAGTCAGATATTTTAAACATCTACAATAGCATATAGGTCAAGTGGATTAGAAAACAAAAAGATAATGATAAACGATCATTCCAATCTTTTAAGAAAACGTTTTATCATATGAAAAAGAGTATGTGGGAAGAATCATATTGCTGTATGTCTCAATAATATAGATCTCCATTTTCAGGCAGAGAATAAATTTGTGAAGCATTCGAATGCCATCAGAAAGTATTAGCTTTTTCAGAGGTTACTTCCTGGTTACTCATTCTTCTTGTAATTCATTTCACAATAATATTGGTGACATTCATCACTGTATCAGTCAACATAAACTCGCCATAGAAACTTATCAATTATCCATCAACATGCTTAAACAATTTCTTTCTTCTCAATGTCTCTATTGAACATTACAAGTCGTGCTTATGAAAATAAAAATGAATCGTAGAAAGTCCTATTTGTAACAGAATTCTAATATATCTCTCCATCAATGTAGCTATACCTGTTTCATTTTAGTATGGTGACAACGGACTGAAGTTGCGTTATAATCATTCTCGAAATAAATGTAAACTACAGTACTCTATTTGTATTTATTTCTCTACATACATGTGCTTATATACAGTCATAAAAGAGAAGAGAAAGTAAGTGAAGCGAAATGTGACGGTTATTTACTGTTAGATTGCCATTTTATGAAAAAAATAGTGGCTAATCACAGAAAAATCTTATCTCATTCACATTCTAGTGTTTTATTAAAACTGTAATATAATTATCAGTTTAAAAGTAAACGAGCATGTTTTATATACAATTGATACAATGCAATGAAACATTTATAAGGTGATTAGTTTTCATCTAAATTTTAAGGTCTAGTAGGTTGATTATTGATTTATATATATGTAATGTATGGTTTTCTCATTGATAATGAACATATGTACAATCTAGAAGTGCTAACTATTAATGCAATCAGTTCATTTTTTTTTTCGAGAATAGTATTCCTTCATGTTTGTTTTAAATGATCAGAATAAACTTGAACATTTATAGTTTATATATTCTTTAGAATTTGTCAGGCTCAATTAATATAATTTGAATGAGCAATAGCACTGACGAGATTATAAACAAGAACTACTACAAGAGATCCATTATTTTTTTAATTTATTAGTATGTATTTAATTCAAAGATTGAAAAATATGACAATTTAAAGCCAATTCATTTTTGGAACTGCAACTTTTTGTTTATAAAGTGTTGCAAGTTCAGTTTGAATGCCTTTAACATTTTGCATAATTTGTTTTACTGAATAAAATACATTTCCAAGTGCTAAACGTTCATGCATTGATCGAGTTATATTAATTTGTCGAACAATTTCAGTTACTGGCCAATTCGAACCAGTTGGAAGAATTCGATAAACACCATTGCCAGGATAAACATGACGACCTTTCTTTGATTGTTGTATCCACCAATTAAGAAGAACAGGATAAGATTGTGCTGGTGGATCAATTTGCCAATAAAGTTGTGGTGTTAAATAATCAACTAAACCTTGTTCCAACCACATTCGACTATCACAATATAAACTATCATAAGATGAAAGACCAGTAATACCTTGTGGTACACCATTTTTCCAAATACCAAATGGTGAAATACCAAATTTAACTTTTGGTTTAACTGCATGTATTCTTGTATACATCGTTTGAATTAGATTATTAACACTTGAACGACGCCAATCATCTTTATTTAATTTACCACCTGTTTGTTGATATGTTCTATAAGTTTCTGCATCAGGAAATTCAGTTCCATCATTATATGGATAAAAATAATCATCCATATGTATACCATCAACAGCATATCGACGAACAATATCTTCAGTAACATTAACAATAAATTGTTGAACTTCAATTGAACCTGGATCCATCCATATATATTTATTATATGTATAAGCATATTTTGGAAATCGTTTAGCCATATGATTTGATGCAAGTTCATAAGTTGCACCAGACATTCGAGCACGATATGGATTGAGCCAAGCATGTACTTCAATATTACGTTTATGAGCTTCAGTTGTAATGAATGTTAATGGATCCCATAATGGTGATGGTGCTTTACCATGTGTACCAGTTAAATATAAACTCCATGGTTCTAATGTTGAAGCGTATAATGCATCACCGACAGGACGAATCTTATTATCGGAAATGATATTACTTTAGAAAGAAATATAGTTTGTGTCTTTTGTATTACCTGAAAAACAACACCATTCATATTCAATCTTTGAACTGTATTGAGAATATTGATTAATTCAGCTTGCTGTTCAGTTGGTGTAGCTGTTCTTGATGATGGCCAATCAATATTAGCTACAGTAGCAATCCAAGCAGCACGAAATTCTTCTTTTATTGGATTTGTTGAAAAACAACATTTAATATTCGCTGGTTGTGATTCACATAAACCAGATTGATATAAAGCATTATGACATTGATTAACATCAATACATTGACCAATACCATATTGTGGATGATTATAAGTATTACATGTATCTGCTTTTACTTGGAATGATGAAACAATCGAGAAACTTAGTGACCAACAAAAAACAACGATCAAAATCATTCTATGTAAATTTGAAAATAACGCTACACAAGGTATGCTTTTGTTTTCTCTTATAGCATCTGCATATCTTCCCATGATAAACACATCTATTTTTCGAACTATCAGATTACAAAAAAAAGCAATATTTGTCAAGATAAAAGTCGACAGCATCGGCATACTGATATTTTGATGCGTTCTAGGATTCTCTAGAAATCGATCGTTAATAATTAAATTAATTCTCAAATAAAAAATCTAGCAGTTCTCGTTTAAGGATATTATACTGAATATCATAACTCGTCGCTATATAAGTTCAAGAAATGTTTCACTCAATTGAGTTCAAGTCTTCATGATATAGTTTGCATTAGCAAGCTCCAATAAAAAAAAAATAAGAGAAAGGGTCTTTAACCTTATGTTTATTTCTCTTCAAATTCAATCTAGTTCTAGAGTCCGTCGGGTCGGATCCAGGCCTGAAAATATTCAATAAATCATATAATAATAAAATATCTTCCCTTGAAATTTGCTTACTCATAAAAATACTGTCCAACATCATGTTCTGACTTCGACACAGAGTTAATCATTAGAATATGAATAATTTATCTACTTAAAAATAACTAGTAGAGTGTGGGTGTGTGGCTGTGACTTTGTGCCTTCTCTTTATCCATATACTACACCCACACCCACAATCTAGTTTTAGATTTTATGAAAGATCGTGTTTCTTCTTTTATGAAAATGAGACATTCAGCTACAGTTGGGTCTGGAGTTTCATCATGTGTATGCTCATTTTCATCGTCGCTAATCACAATGGCATTACATTGAGAACAACACTCACTCAAATTAAACGATCAGACATAGAAACTCGCTATCTTACTGAACGGCTGAAAGTTCAAGAACATATGTGTGATCACGATATAAAAAATATACCTATTGAATTGGGGCACTTTTACACAGTTCTCAAGGATACTGATGGTGTGTTTGAACCATCAGTTATGATTGATCACGCATGGCATCATCATATTCTGATTACAAGAATGTATAGAACTTTTTCGCGTCAACATTTTGGTATGAAACTTCTTCATCATGTGTCTTTCTGGTCCGAAAATATGAAAGCGATAGAAGAAGTATCAAATGCTAACGAAGAATTTGATTCAATAGCAACATACAATACTATTGTCTCAATGTTCGGCTCAAAAAATGTCAGCAAAACAGCGTAGGACATTAGTGAACACGAACTAAATGATGATCGCTTAGAAACAGTAGAACATAATGAATTCTAGATATAATCTCATTTGATGAAGCTTCAAATATATTAATGTCTCTTTCAATGACTACTATTTTTGGAGTGTTATTATTCTTCTTCTTGTCATCCACATCGATGTTTTCTTTTTTTTTTTGATTAGAATATGGTATTACATTTAATTTTTATTTCAAAAGATTTGTATTTTAAATGATAGAAGTAGAGTTAGACTTCTACTGATAGATGAATATTGTTGATAGTGGCCTTGACTTGAGAAAAAATAATGTCAACTTCAACACGAACTGTTGTTGGGTCTATGATTTGATGTTGAGTATTATAACGATTAGACGTCGATGAATTCTTCGTGATGTTGGAAAAGCCAATCACTAGAAAACAAAAAGAGAAATACATGTTCTCATATTCATGCGGGTCATTGAGAAAAAGCAAATATTTTCTGCAAACGGTACTCCAAACTAAAAGTTTCAATAGAAGAATAATACAAAAAGAAAGAGATTCTTATCTGACGACCAATATGATGCTGTCGTCGATTCCGAATATTTTCAACAGACTATATAGGCAATAGCGTAAAGACAACTATGTGTTTGATCATTTGAACATGTTACTTCGGATTATTGACTATAAAACTTTGAATATTGAAGAATTTGAATAAATTTATTTACGAAAAGAATTCTTAGACTAGGAATAGAGTTCAAAATCAAACTTCAAAATTATGAATACCTTCATGAATGAGATTGTCGGTCGAATTGAAGAAACGAAGATTAATATTGATATTACTCGTTATGATATCAGCTTCGAGCAAGATATATGTCAAACCGGCATTCAACATTCGTTTCACATATCGACTGACATCAACCGATTGAATCATGTGAGTAATATTCGATGTCGTCGCTTGAAAGACACAATTGCTATCATCACCTTGCGACACAATAATAATTGATCCTTGAACAGGTACGGTCCATTCGGTAATGTTCATTGTCATCGATTCATCACATGTCGGATAACCGTTTCGAATGAGATTTTTATTCTTGCCAATTGATCCATCTGGTAAAATGGCCTTGGATATGGAGAAGACTTGATCGAGTTGAGTTGGAACGAGATATTTTGCTTCAGTGAGATTACTTTCGGAAAAGTCGGATTCGATCAAGTCAGCTTGAGAGAAACTAGCTTCGATAAATGAGGCACGGCGAAAATTACAATTGATGAATGTGCCTAAGGCTAGATGGACTCTATTCATGCTAGCATTTTCAAAGGTAGTGTTATAAACACGAATACTAGCAAGCATGCTATCATCTAGAATCGCATTAGAGAAATTGCTCTCATTGATTTTTGCAAAAGAAAGCGTCGATTGGCCGAATGAAACACCACGAAAGTTACTGCGAACTACCTGAGCCATTTCCATACTGACTCCAGCCATGTTGGCATCTTCGAAAAGAGCTTCTTCTAGTTGGGCAAAACGAAGGCTACTGCCATTGAGAATGGCTTTTGAGAAGTCAATTCGATTACCTTCGACGCTGGCAAAAACGGACTGAATCAATTGTGCCTGTCGAAAGATAGTATCCGTCATACGGGTGAACTGAAACCCACTCTCATCACCCTTGGCTTGATAAAAATTGGCATGTACCAAGTATGAGTGTTCCAATTTTGTTTTATACAAATTGGCACGCTCAAAATTGGTTCCAGTGAATGGAGTACTGAAGAAGAAAGCTTCAGAGAGATTGGCTTCACTAAAGTCAGTCTCAGTAGCGTCACTGTCGATTAGGTGCGCATTAATAAGTGATGCTCGTCGAAAATTGGCACCAACAAGTGAGGCGCGGAAGAATCTACCTCTGTCCATTTGGGCTTCCTGGAAACTGGTATTATGAAGTTCAGTACTAACGAACTTGCTATCATGTAGATCAGAACGAGTGAATGAAGCATGAGTCAGATTTGTCGATGAAAAAGATGCATTACGGAGTGAAAGACAATCCAAAGACGCACTAACTAGTGTAGTGTAACTAAGATCAAGTTGATCAAAATATTGGCTGGGACAATCAACTAGAATAGAAATAAGAAAGTAATTATTTAGATGAAGTAGAATGCAAAGTATTTTTTTTCCAATGAATATTGCCACAAATTTTGAATAGAACCCTTGCATACATAAGATGGTTCTATAATATTGATCATAACGAACTCTGGTGTTTAATTCTTTTCACACTGTTCGTTGAAATTACTATTTATTATACTTATGTTTTTGTAAAAGATATTCAAATGAACTTTATGATATATTTTTCTTAACTGACTTTCGTCTTTGTTTCCCAGTTGGATTCCATTCAAATTGACTCGTCTCAGAATAATTTGTCGGCTTGGGGGATCAGTATCGCTGTCTCGAATAAGGTTTGCATCGTAGAGAATTTGAATAAGAAGAGTTTTGTGTGGAATATCAAGTCGACGAAACAAACTCAACACTTTTCGTTGAAGTAGTGATATAGGTGCACTAGTTAAATTATATGCATCAAGAAATTCATCAAGATCATGTTCATCTTGTCGAAATTGTTCTTGCCGACGATGCTCTTCGATTAGATGAGAACGATATTGTTCCAATGTCCATTCATGTTGTTGCCTTCCTTGAGCCATAAGTCGTTGGGCAGCGAGTTCGACTGTTTCACGAAATTTGAGCTCTTTTTGATGATGTGTTGCAGTGAGATTTCGATTCAGTTCAGCATTTAATTGATTCCAATCGTGATCTTCTTGTTGTTGTTTCTCATTGAAGTGCTCTGCTCTTTTTGTTAATTCTAATGTGAAATTCCATTGCGTCAATTGTTGTTGTTCTTGAAGACGTTTTTCATGTTCACGTTGAAGTTGAGCCATGTGTTCATTTGATCGAATCAGCATGGCAACAGCATCCTATGGATAATTCATGAGTACTAATACATACTTCAATCAATTGCATCATAACTCATAAAGAATTATCTCTTATCAATGTTCAGTTTGTTGCATACCTGTGACTGTGATGCGCTGTTACTGTTCGTCGGCAGTCGTATGACAAGAATAATGAGTATTGCAGCAAGAAGGCCAGCGATAAGAAGTCCAACAGCGATCTTGTAGATTAACTCGATGACTACGAATTTTGTATTCCTTTGGTTTGATGACATAAGATCTCGGATTTTCGAATTCAATCTAAGCGAAAGACAAATGAAGTAATTACCTTGTTTAATTGTTCGTAATTCTCTACTATATATATATATTATGGTACTTCACTAAGCATAGTGAATATTAAGTGAAGAGATAGAGGTATATATGCACTTAAATCGTAAAAAAAATATTGAATTTAGATGCTCACTTTTTTTCCAAATATCGTTCTCATATCCTACGTATTATGTATGGAAGGAAGAAAATAAATATTTTGATGTTAATCATTATGGACTTTATATTAACAAACGCATAATACAGTGAAAATGCCTTGATGTATTCAAATTTGATTTAGATTAAGAAGAGAATACAAATGTGCATTTTATTCAACATTACCATTGAGAAAGCATATCTTGCATTACTAAGTGATTGTATGTTCGTTTTTAAATCAATCACAATAGCAAGAAGGAATGTGCATAGAGAAAATACTTTTTCATCCATACTGAAATCGCTCCATTGTTGCAGTTTCATTCGGCAGATTACTTTTTCTTAACTAATTTAGACTTGTTCCAAGGGCAATCCTTCTGAATCATCTTGCCAGTATTTCGTCAATACCTGATTTGAATCTTATTGAATCTAGCAAAACTTTCCTTTTGCGAGATATTTTGTCTGACGTTACACATTAGAGGTAGTTTGAAGAAGCAACGTCATTTTTTCAGTTATATTATTTACAAAAGTAAAAAAAGATTCATTGGTCCATCTTGTTTTTGCATTGCCTATTGTAATCAATATGTTATCGAGTTAAATACTAGAAATATTGCACTATGAGAGAGATTTTGATATAATAATTTAAAAAAAAGAAAGTTTGAAATTGATATATAATATTCTGTTCCCAACATAGAGAGAGTTCAAGAGTGTATAAGGAGTTATATGAGAATTCTCTGAAAAGAAAATTTAGCTTCGAACAATGTTAATTGAACAAATTAATGTAGTCAACATCGTTTGCAGATTATTTTATTTTTACATAAAATACTATCTACATCACTTCATTTTCTTTTATATGACGAAATCACTCTTTGCGTCGTCAAATTTTGTATATATGCGAGAAAAATTAAAATAACTATCTTTTTTACTTCTTCATATTTTTAGTCTTTATTTCATGTCTTGTCATTGTTGTTTAAGCGGAACAAGAGGGTAGAAAAACGGAGGCACATATGAAACTAAATCCATCAGATAATATTTCTCTTTAATTTTTTTTCAGGTATCATTTGCATGTAACATTAGTAGTATCTCAAAGAAAAAAAAACAAATATTTTAATATTAATCCCAATCAGGCTAATAAAAGCATACGATAGGTGCGAGGAGCGATCGAAAATTTGTTACATATATATTTTGTTCGTTCTGTTTCAATTTTGATCCCTCGACACCTATCGAATTTCGAGCACTCGGACACTGTATCCTATCGACGACTCATTTTCGACTCGTCGTATATATTCCGACACCTCGGTACTCATCGAAGTTTCGAGTACTCCGAGAGAAATCATCTATCGAAATAAGACTACTTGAGTGCTTCAAAAGAGTCAAACTGATCATAATAACAGTTTTGACAGATAAGTCTATAAGCTTGATCATATGAAACTTCTTCAAAATCCGGTTTTAAAATATTCTTTATTTTTATTCAATAATTTTAGTAGAATTATTCGAGTTTGCTTCATAATTCACCTTAATTTCAGAATTTTCTGATCAAAATTTATCGTCCACCGATTGAAACGAAAACTAAAATTCGCCTGCATTTTTGACTAAGATATAGTAATAATGAATTTTCACGGTGTGAATTTTAAAAAAAACTACTAAATATTGAACTTATGCTTCCCCGTGCAAATCGGTTGATTATCGCATATTGCATGTCATATTTATTCAATAAGTGATCTATACGGAATCTTATATTTAAAAAAAAGGTCTTGTGTCACTTATAGAGATATAAAAAGTTTTTCTTTCTTAATGAAATTTTTTCATGATAAAAAATTTTTTTTCTCAATTAAAGATATTATTTTTATTGTTCAAAAAATAATTTTTTTTCTGGATGAAAAATATTATTTCTAATGTTTAAAAAAAATTTTTCTCGTTGGACAAAAAAATATTATTTTCAGTTTCAAAAAATACTATCTTCTTATGAATTAGAAAGGTCGGTTTGATATGAGAATAATAGTTCTTATTTAGATCAACTGTTCGAGGAAATTGAGACATCTATCGGACAAAAATTATTTTTTTCGATCAAATTTCGATCTATCGGATACGAACATTCAAGTGATAGAAAATCGCTAGTAAAAATAACCTATCATCGAGCCCTCGACCCATCGGAAAATGGCAATCCGAGGGATCAATTTGAAATTTCGATGCCCAACGGAAACCAAAATCGACGCGACGAAATACCTATCGGATGGCCAGTTAGGATCATTATTTATGTGAATATTATTATTGTGTTTAAAAGTAAGATATAGAAAATGATCTCTCAAGATATCATCTATTAGTCTAGTTCGAAAATAACTTCAAAAAATATTAATTATTCAATATATGAATGAGAAGTATTTATCAATTTGTAATAGCAAGACTGATACGAAGAAAAATGCATGATGATGACATGAATTAATTAATAAATATCCGATAAATCTAGTTTCTTAATTTTTGTTTGCTGTATAATTCATTGCAATTCAATCTTCGAGTCCAACTATAAGAACGTGAACTTCAAAAAACGTTAGTCAACATTACAGTTTCTAACTTTTAATTAAACCTAACTCGATTGACCAAGTTCATCTGTAAGAAAATAATTGTTATTACCTTTATATTGATTAAAAAGCTCATAAAAATGATTAACTATTCCTGTTCAGAATCATTTTTATATTCTAATTTTTATCAAAATGGAACTATTGGTTTCTATATGAAACATGTTTTGGTATCCACCAACGTCGTCAATGCTCAATCATTTATGTTTATCGAGAGAAAATCATAGAGTTGTAATAATCTTGTCTGCGACAGAAATAGGGGTATGGGTGTGGGTATGTGTGGGTGTAGGTAGAGGTGTTAGCCGATCATTTGATCGGTGGTGGCGACAAAATTTTTCCTATGTTATTTCACAGGGTCTTTCATAGATCCCTACCGTTAAGACAAACATTAGACATTCTGTTCTCACAGAATTATAACGCTGTTTTCCTCTTAGCACGCTCATGTCTTTTTATGCAAAACTTTTTCCACTAGATGTCACTTTATTTTCATTAATTCAAAAAATCACACTGTCCCATGATAAAATAACTTCAAATCATACAACAAGAACTCATGATATAAGCCAAAATGGCAATAATGTGACTATCCATCTAAAATACAAATTAAACTCAAACATGATAACTTAGGGCTGGCACTTTATCTTTACTTTACCCAAAAAGTAAAGTACAGTAGAGTAAAAAAAAATGAAGTTGTATATTTTAAATTTTTTGGCAATTTCTTAGTTCAGGATCATGTATAAATAATCTTAGGACATATCAAAGTTTATTCAATATCGTTTCGTCTTAAAATTAGTGTGAAAAAAAAATAAAGCCGAAAATGTCGATTTTTTATGAATACACGAAAAATATTGTTTGGTTAACTATATCTAACTTTATTTTCCACATTCAAACTATAGTATTTTACTTTACTCTACTTTACTTTTTCAAAGTAAAACAAAGATAATGTGCCATTCCTATGGTGGCTCGAATTAGATCATAAGTGAAACTAACATTGAAATTTGAATTTGAATTCAAATTTAAATCGATACTTTTCTGTGAGTGAAGAAAAAGAGCAAGATTTGTTTTTATTGATTATTCGAGTTCAAATTCAAACTAAATATTTTTCTTTTATCTAAACTGGCAGGAGAGTGTCGATTGGAATTCGAATTCGAATTGCAATGTTAGTTACATTTACATTCGAACTCAAACTAGACAGTTAGTCGAAACTGTACACTGAATAAGTCAAAAATCGCGAAACTGAGAAAATAATAATGATGAATCTATTGTGCATGAAGGACTAAGGCAAATGAAAACCTAATAAATATGGTAGCGTCACAAAATCACAAGGATACATATTTGCTTATCAGCTCGATTTTCAGACCATATGTCATCCAAGGAAAAATACACTAATTCCTATTCTTTAAAAGTTCTGTTGGTTTCAGCATTCTCTAATTGTCACATAGATCAAACTTGAGATATTGCTGATTATTATCAACGAGTGATAATTTAGAAAAAGAGGAAGCTTGAACTGTGACCCTTCACTCGATCGGCGGCTAACACCTCTGGGTGTCGGTGTGGATGAGTGGGTGTGAACGTGAGTGTGGGTGTGGGTATAAGTGTGTGTCTGTGTATGGATGTGATTGTGGTTCCTCCTTACACTCACACCCACATCCTTTTCACAGTGGCTAGAATCGATGATAAATCATCATATTATGATGTTAAATAGCATATCAGAAAATAGACTATTTTCTCATTCGTAGCATAATCTCGTATCGGGCCAGTCGATGTATGAGTGATATGAATGATTTGATATAGTGATGTGCACAATCTACTAACTTAATACTGTATACCTAAATATAAAAATCCAAATACGATTTGTAATTATAAATAAAAGTCAATACCACAAAATGACGAAAAGGCATAAAAATGCCCATGTCACAAAAAACCGAATCATTTTTAGCGGTAAACCGCGGTTTTACCATTATGGAGCCGGTAAATTAGATAAAACCACCGGTTTTTCGCTGAAAGGAAGCCGGTAGTCGGACCGGTAGAACCGCGGTAAACCGCCGGTTTTCACCCCATGGGTGACTCTTATAAGCAAAAGATGATATTTTGTGTTCTCAAAAAAAACCATAATGCATATCGAACGCTTGTAGTATTTTTTTACCAAGAGTTCTAGAGTAGTAGGACCTTCAATTGTTGAAATTTTCATCTCCGCTGCTGATGCTTTTGTATAACGTGAAAGGTTTTCGGTGGAACTGCCCGTTTGCTTTAGAACTGAAGTTCTATCACAGATCGGCCATCTGGTCAGTTAAAAAAGATTAAAATGTCATTGACTGATCTCTTATAGCTGCCAAGAAATCAAAGAAAAAAAATCAAGAGTCTATCGAACCACCAAATGAATATTCAATAATAGGAATAAAAAATCATTTTATTATAATATACTTATGATGATAAACGAAAGATTTTAGATTTTTAACTATTATTATTATTATTTGATTAATCATTACATTTTTTACCTTTTTTTTGTATATGTATATCATTACTTTCAGTGTCAATAGAGATTTTATAAATATTATCGTAACACTGCATATCTTTTTGTGTTAGATTACAAATATTTCTTCTGTCAATAAACATCATGTTTTTTTTATTTTCTACTCCATTTGAGACAAAAACACGCTGTTTTATCACACGTGTACATACCGTTGATTTTTAATGCTATGGATGAGATAAACCGGAAAAAACAAAATGATTTTACTGACAATAACAAAAAAACGAAATTAATATTCAATTCAGACAGGTCAGTGAAAAGAAAATAGTGTTTTTTAATGATTTTAATTGTTGTCCTTTATTTTATAAAGAGATTGTTTCACCCATCTTGAAGATCTTTCGAACGAACTTTTTTATGAAATTTTTGATTATCTGGATATTTATGATGTATATGAAGCTTTTTCATAAGTTAATACTCGATTTGAAAATCTTTTGAATGATCCAACTCTTCCCATTCAAATTAATCTATCGTCTATATCGAAATCCAAGTTTGAACATTATAACACAAATATTATCATTCCTTTTCAATATCGAATAACATTACTTCATCTATCAAATCCATTGATTATCGAACATCTCTTTTCACCAATTTCTATTCTATTAAAATTTATTCGACTTGAAAATCTTCATCTTCGTAATATTGAATCAAAATGTTTTGAAGAAATTCTTATTCATTTAATTTCTTTACCTTGTCTTTATTCATTAATTGTTAGTTGTACAGATAATGTTCAAAATAAAAATGTTTTTTATCATCAAATATTTCGTTTAACCGTCCTGAAATATTGCAAATTAACATTGGCAGCAAATACTCAATCTAATTCATTATCTATGGCAACTACGGAACATAGTCCTATTGAATATTTTATTATTAATCAACTTTATGTCGATGAACTTTATGCATTTTTATCATATATTCCTCAAATTCGTCGTTTATCAATTCGAAATTTATATAAATCTCCTAAAAAAACAATAAGAGAATTCTATCCAATTGTATTAAATCATTTGATACATATGTTTCTTTGAATATGATAGATGTTACTTTTGATGAATTTCAATTCATAATCAAAAACTTATTTAATCAAATTGAAATATTATACATTTCAACAAAGGATGATCGAGCATATATTGATGCCAATCAATGGCAAGAATTAATTCTATTTCATTTACCAAATCTACGAATCTTTGATATTCAACATAAATATTCTTTTAACAAAAGCAATTATTTACTTTATGATAGTCTACCTGATAAATTCAATTCTTTATTTTGGTTCAAACGAAAATGGTTTTTTGAACATCATATCTATCATAGTCAGAATGATGATCATGTTATTTTCTTTTCAACGAATCCATATAGGTATGAATAGATTCACTTATTTATTATAATAATTTTATTTTTAAGACGAAAACAACATATATTATGTGAAGAAACCAACGAAAACATAAATCGAAATAGTAAAAAAAGTCATATACATTCAGTTAATCATCTTCTAATTCAAACTAAAAAAGCGGTGATAAATTGTCAAAATTATTTTCCAAATGTAACTGAAATTACTTTATTCCACAACTTTATTCATGAAAGTAAAAATTCTTTGTCAAATCAATTCAAGAAAATCTTTCCATTGAAACAACTGACTAAACTAGTTATTCATTCAAATCTTTGTTGTTTTTCAAAAATGATTGAATTATTACGTTATATACCTTATATTCATACATTAAACATTGAACTATTGTCATTTGATGATCCACAAAGATCGTATCATCTTACAAATTCATATGTACTTCAACAAAATGAAACTTTTAGATTGGTTTCGAGAACAAATAATATTCAAAATCTGACTATTATATCATCCTATGAAATGGAATTAGTACAATTTTTTGTAAATTTAAGCCCACGACTGGAACATCTTACAATCAATAGATTTGGATGGTGGCGTCTTGGAAAATTTTTACAATTTTTATTATCAAAAACTAATAAGAACACTCGTCATTTAGTTTCATTATGCATTGAAAATGTATCTGAGAATGATATCGACGTAATAAGAAGTTTTATTGAAGCACAGAAAGACGTAAATATTGATTTGACCAAAGTAAGAGATTTGTGGTCTGACGATAGATATGTACAGTACAGCATATATTTATAGTGATAACATTCCTTGTTAGTAAAACATGTCGTTCTCTAATATTATTTATTTTTGAAATAAATAAGAAAATTATTATTATTATTATATTTTATAGATTTTCGTTAAATAATTTGACATTCATGAACAATAAATCATAGTGATAAAATCCTAGGGAAAATCTTTGATGTTTCAATGCTAGATCCTTAAAAGATCTGATCAGGATTCGCCCTTTTTTCCTGAGGAAACGGCTAAATCCTGAAAAAAGCGTGTAGCCACGGAATTTCAGGATCTTGTCAGAATCCGAATTAAGATTTTTAAGGATCCTGTCAAGTTTACCATTGTTTTTGAGTCACGATCGAGTCAGGAAATCGATAAATCCTGAAAGAAGTGTGTAGCCACGGAATTTCAAGATTCTGACAGGATTCAAAACAAGATTATCAAGGATTCTGACAAGTTTATCATTATTTTTTAAATCAGGATTAAGTCAGGAAGTAGATAAATCCGAAAAAAAGCGTGTAGCAACAGAATGGCAGGATCCTGTCCGGATTGGGTGTGAGTGTGGGTGTGGGTATGGATTAAAGAGTCTTCCGCTCTTCCACACCCACACCCTAATTTTTTTGGTTATTTATCGCTATAGAACATCATCTTGACGAGAGAACACTCCATTCTTAAATGAATGAAACAACGTCATCTAGTCGACCTATGTATTTCATTGAGTCGACACGCATCAGTTCTTGTTCCTCTTTTTGATGCTTTTTTTCCTTGAAAATGGTCGATACAACATTTAATAATAAGCGAAGAAAACTTTTCGAGTCTCGAAAAAAGTATCGTCCAAGTTTTCTCTTACGCAGGAAAATATTTAGATGTTCAAGCCATTTAGACCCCATCTTTTGGCGATCAGTAGATCTCGATGAAGGTTGAAAAAGCTGAAAAGGATTCATTCTCTCATCCCTTTATTTCCGAGATATGACTGTTTTACTGGATGTTCGGCCAAGATCACGGTGTTTCGGAAAAAATCAAATGTACTGTATTCGAAACAGAAACAAAAATTATCCGATTCTCAACAACATCAATTTGTTTTTTCGATTGAGAATTGTTGGACTCGATGATTGTTATTGTCGATGACATAGAGATTGCCACGTCGATCAAATGACAAACCACAGGGATAACTCAACTGGTTTGCTTGTTCTCCTTGACCATTTCCACCAACAATGACAGTTCCCTGTGTCGCTCTGTTAGGCCAACGCATCACTCGATGATTGTAAGAGCCTGCCACATAGACTGTGCCCAACAAATCAACGAACACTCCATTAGGATGATCCAGTTGTGTTAGAGCATCCCCATCGCCTTGACCACCAGCCACAACAATTCCTTCTTTCGCACCCTTGACCCACTTCATCACACGATGATTGTCTCTGTCCGACACGTACACCGACTGATCTCGATCAACAAAGATGTAGCGAGGCTCATTGAGTTGATTGAGACCTTCGCCTAGTCCATTGCCACCCGCCACGACTGTTCCATTTGTCTCTCCAATTCGATATCGTCTCACTCCATTCTTTCCGCTGTCAGCGACGTAGAGAAATCTCTGATCATCCATTGTCAATTCCATACAATAGATATTCTCGATAATCGTTTCTCCACTTACTGTGCCTCTCTGACGAGACCACCGCATCACTCGGCTGTTTCCTCCATCGCAGATGATAAGACTATCGGTCTCTTTGTCGACAATCACATCTCTTGGGTATTGCAACTGATCAGTTCGATTTCCTCGTTCATTCCCACCGGCCACTACTTGACCACTTGTTGCATCACTCTTCCATTCCACAATACGGTCATTCCCATAGTCAACGATCAAGACGGTTTGACTATCATCCACATACAGATCAGTAGGCCAAAAGAGTTGGTTGAGTGCATTGCCTACTCCGTGACCTCCAGCGATGGTGAGAGCGTTTTGTGTCCATGTGGCATTGGGAGGAATGTTTGGTGGAAGCGCTGCAATGAAAGAAGAGAAGGATCATCAGACGGGGATAGAGAGAAAAGATAGGAAGAATCTTTCATTTGTTGGAAAAGAACGAAAGCATGATGTCCGTCGCCACTGCCAACGATTCAGGTCGATTGAAGGAACGAACAAAGAGGAGAGAGTGAGAATGAGATACTTCTTGTTTGTTTCGATCAACAACGCGCATCTGCGGTTGCTCTTGGAGATTTTCTCAAACTCTCGACAACACTGCCCAAGTACTCTTGAAAATGCAAATATCTTATCAGTAAAACCGAGATATTTTCATCTCTAGCCTCTCTCAATTTTGATAATTCCTGGAGGAACCCTGGAAGGATGAGGCAGGCTTCTGGCAAGTTTTGATCAAAATCTCACTTATAATCTCGGTCATTTCTGTTTTCAAAGACTTTTCCGGCTTTTTCAGAATTGTCCTCAGGATTTTTCTGAAGTTTATTGAAGATGTTCTTCAAAAATGATAAATTAGGATCTTTTCAGGATTTAGTCCCAATCTTGATTAGTATCCTGAGAGGAACGAATGAAAAGATCTTGCCAAGATTTTAGCAGATTTCTCCGCAGCCTCTATTCTGGATATAAATAAAGTCTAGGATTCTGTCACAATTTTTAGCTGATCCAAGTAAGGAGCTTGTTAGATATAAATGAATGCATTCTGCAGAAAGTGTAGTAAAGTTCTGGATCCTAAACAGTTTTCCATGATATTTTAATCAGAAACCGAGTCAGGAAGCCCATAAACTCTGATAGAAAAGTATAATCAAATAGTGCACAGGATTCTAGCGATGAGTGAAACAGGATATATTAGGATCCAGACCGATTTTCCACTAAGTTTGCATAAAAAATTAGTTCAGAAAGCCCGCAAGTCGTGATGAGAACGTGTAGCCGAAAAGCATCTAAGATCTTGACAGCATTTGAGACAGAATTTATCAGGATTTTGATCGATCCTTCAAGGAATCCTCCAGGAGTTCTCACGATTGAGACGTCGGATTTATAAATCTCAGTGAACATTACTAATTTTTATGCGAATCAGTTCGCAAATATGAACATTTTAAGAGTTTCACCTATTAGTCTGACTCGACTATCAATGAAACAACTATCAATAGGAGTGGAAACTTCAAGTTGACTCTCCTTAAATGTTTCTTCGACTAAAGAGACCATTTTATCAGTTGCTTTTCGTCTTAACTTGAGAGCAATGTTGTAAAGAATCGAAACCCCTGAAACTCTGCTATCAGATTGAGTACACAAGGTCGATAAATTCGTAAATTAAATCGAACTAGGTGTTGCGCTGTTGGCTGAAATGACAATTCCTACTGCAACGTATCTTCACAGTCACATGATCACTTCAGTTTTCTCTATGAGTGAGTAAAACAACGTTGAAAAATTTTAAGCTTGCTTGTAACGACCTCAAAATCACTGGCATTATGAGGTATCTGCAATCTCAGAAGCACGTTTTTCAGTTTGGTATCACTTCCTGAGTTAAGTGATTTCCCCAGGAAATTCAAAGAAAACCAAAGTTTTGAGCTGGAAACCAAAAGAATCAAACTTGAAGTCACTCTTAATAACATGGCATAGTCCAAGCGAGTAAGCTGCTCAGTTCATAATCTATAGATCTAGAGATCAATACTCTGTGCTCATTCCTTTAGTGTTCTGTCTATTAGATCTTGACACAATCCTGGTAAGATCTCGATCAAATTCTGATAAGATCCTGTGATTGGTAACCAGGTAATGATGAACAATACTGGAATTATTTTTTACCAAGGTTTTTTGTAAATTCTGGTTCGCATGCAGTGAAAATCCGATCAGGATCCTGGATACTTTTCTGCTATAAGTTTCGAGCAGGATTTATGGTCTTCGTGCACGCAAGATTCTTATTATGAATAGTCGAGTCAGTCAGGTGAGACGAACGAATTTCATCGATTGGAAATCAAAGATCATCTCTGTCCCTTCCCCTGCGCTTTGATCGTTAGCGACGATCAAAAAGATTCATTCTTTTGAGCACAATCCTGTGAGTCAGAGGTAACACCGAAGCGTTCTAAAAACGGTAATTTTGCCGTTTTCAATACGTTTATGGTGAAAAACTATTTGTTACTATCAAATTTTGTGATTATTACAGATTTTCGTATGAATTTTCACTTTTTGCCGTTGAACTTTACATGAAAAACGCAGGTAATGCACCGGTATTTTTTCAATTTCGAAGAAATGTGTCATTAGAAAAATCCAGAAACTATTAATGTGAGTCCCCAATGCTGTTTTTCGAGCCGCTTCTGATATCAATCGATAACTCTTAATGAGTTCTATCCGACGCTACCATGTGCGTCACATAAGAACGTGTGTGTGTGATTCACCGCATTGGTGTGAAAATTCCTAAAAGTAACGAGCTCAGAGGAGGAAACACTTGTCCAATAGTTCCTCGCTGCAGTGCTCGTTACTGGTATGTCATCAAAACTGTTGTTCTTTCATTAATCTACTAAGATATTCTTTCTCTCGTCGCCGCTGCATCGTTCTCTCGCTTCACTGTCGCTTCTCTTTGCTCTCCTGATCGTCTCCATCCGTTTCTGGATTCTTCTCCTTGACATCCTCTCCTTATCTCACGCATCGATTATTTGCGGCTGGTTCTAGAGATCTATGGGTTTTATATACCCTTTCATAAACCCTCGGAAAGACGTATTAACGGTATTAAAATACCCTAAAGAGGGTTTGTGTCTGGTTGCACTTTCAAATACATTTTCTCCGTTTATTATGCTACGCTTTTTCTCTAGACTTCCAGTCTAAGGTCTAAAAATGTGAATTAAAACCTAAATTCTCAGTGTTTGGATCGGTGACAAAGGTTTTCTAGGTATTCACGCCAATTTTCAAAGAGAACGATTTTCAGTTCACTTTAATTGTCTCAGCGGAAAATTGTAAAGGATCAATAATCCGCAAATAATAGGTCGGCTTAGGTCGAATAACGTCTCTAATTGTACTCGACACTGAAGACTATCATCTCCTAAGACTAGCTTGATATCGAGCTTTTGTTCGGATAAGAAGAGAGCCGTCTTACAGGAACAATGCGACGAATATCAGACGATTCCATGTAAAATCAACCACTACCAACGTATCTCATGGTGCCATTTTGCACT